TCCTTTCAGTTCTGTCAGTTTTTGGTCTACATATCTTGCACCTCTGTTGTTTGGTGCATACACATTTAGGATTATTAAATCTTCTTGGTGGCCAAATCAAACCTATTGCTGTCGAGTCAATTCTGACTTATAGCAACCCTATAGGAAAAAGTATACTGCCCCATAGGGTTTCCAAAGCTGTAAATCTTTATGGAAGCAGACTGCTACATCTTTCTCCTGTGGAGTGGCTAATGGGTTTGAATCACCAACCCTTCAGTTAGCAGCCAGGCGGTTAACCACTGCTTCACCAGGGCTTCTTGGTGAGGAAACATTATTATATAATGTCCCTATCTATGATAATTTTCTTTGTCTTTATCTGATATTAATATAACCATTCTTGTTTTCCTTTGATTAATGTTTGTATGATATGTCCTTTGGTCTTTATGCTTTCAATCTACCTATATTGTTATAGTTGCAGTTTCTTCTAGAGAGCACATACCAAAAAAAACCCAAACTGATTGCCATCAAGTCAATTCTGACCCATAGCGACCCTATAGGACAGAGTAGAACTGCCCCATAGGGTTTCCAAGGAGTGACTGGATTCAAATTGCCAACCTATTGGTTTGCAGCCATAGCTCTTAACCACTGCACCACCAGGGCTCCAGGCAGCACATAGTTGGTTCATATTTTCTAATCCAATGTGCCAATCTGTGTCTTTTAATTGGTGTATGTCTTAGTCATCTAGTGCTGCTATAACAGAAATGCCACAAGCAGGTGGCTTTGAAAAAGAGAAATTTATTCTCTCACAGTTTAGGAGGTTAAAAGTCCAAATTCAGGGCTACAGCTCCAGGAAGGCTTTCTCTCTCTGTCAGCTCTGGAGGAAGGTCCTTCTCATTAACTTTCCCCTGGACGAGGAGCTTCTCCATGCAGGAACCCCGGGTCCAAAGTATGTGCTGTGCTCCCGGTGCTGCTTTCTTGGTAGTATGAGGTACCCGTCTCTCTGCTTGTTTCTTTTATATCTTGAAAGAGATTGGCTCAAGACAGAATCCAATCTTGTAGATTGAGTCCTGCCTCATTAACAGAACTGCTGCCTATTCCACTTCGTTAACATCATAGAGGTAGGATTTACAATACATAGGAAAATCACATCAGATGACAAAATGGTGGACATCGCACAATACTGAGAATCATGGCCCAGCCAAGTTAACAGATATTTTTGGGGGATACAATTTAATCCATCATGGTATATTTATACCATTTACATTTAATTATTAATATGTTAGGTCTAAGTCTGCCATTTTATTTCTTATTCTGTTCGTTCTCTGTTTTTCATTTCTCTGTTTTCTTTTTCCTATCTTCTTGTGCATTACCTGAACATATTTTAGAATTCCATTTTTATTTATAAATAGTGTTTTTGAGTGGATCTCTTTGTATAGTTATGATAGTGGTTACTGTATGTATTACATTATATATGTACAACTTATCACAGTCTACCAGTATGTACTGTAGTTTTATGTGTTTTTCGAAATTTGGGAAGTTTTCAACCAGTACTTTTTTATTCCACCACACGTCTGTCACTTTGTCGTACTCTGGTTGCTGGTGTGTTGCTGTGATGCCAGAAGCTCTGCCACTGGTATTTCAAGTACCAGCAAGGTCACCAATGGTAGACCAGTTTCAGTGGAGCTTCTAGACTAAGACAAGGAAGAAAGATCTGGCTGTTTACTTTTGAAAAAATTGGCCAGTGAAAACCTTATGGATAGCAGCAGAACATTGTCTGATAATAGTGCAGGAAGATGAGCCCCTCAGGTGGGAAGGCACTCAGAAGACAAGATCTACCACCTCAAAGCAGGGTTGACCTTAATGACGTGGATGGAGTAGAGCTTTCAGGACCTTCATTTCCTGATGTGGCATGATTCATAATGCGAGGAAACAGCTGTAAACATCCATTAATAATTAGAATGTGGAATGTACGAATATGAACTTAGAAAAATTGGAAATCAACAAAAATGAAATGGAACGCATAAGGATCAATATCCTAGACATTAGTGAGTTTAAATTGACTGGTATTGGCCATCATGTGGTCTACTGTGGTCTACTATGCTGGGAATGACAATTTTAAGAGGAATGGCGCTACATTCATTGTCAAAAAGAACATTTCAAGATCTATCCTGAAGTACAACACTGTCAGTGATAGAATAATATCCAAACGCATATAAGGAAGACCAGTTAATATGACTATTATTGAAATTTATGCACCAACTACTAATGCCAAAGATGAAGAAATTCAAGATTTTTACCAGCTTTTGCAGTCTGAAACTGATCAAACATGCAGTCAAGATGCATTGATAATTATTGGTGATTGGAATGTGCAAGTTGGAAACAAAGAAAGATGTAGTTAGAAAATACAGCATTGAAACGACAGATAGAAATGACACTGGAGATCGTATGATACAATTTTGCAAGACCACACCTTATTCGTTAGAAATATCTTTTTTCAAGAACATAAATCGTGACTATACACATGGACCTCGCTGATGGAAAACACAGGAATAAAACTGACTATGTCTGTGGAAAGAGATGATGGAAAAGCTCAGTATCATCAGTCACAACAAGGCCATGGGCCGACTGTGGAACAGACCACCAATTGCTCATATGCAAGTTCAAGTTGAAGCTGAAGAAAATTAAAACAAGTCCACGAGAGGCAAAATATGACCTTGAGTATATCCCACCTGAATTTGGAGACCATCTCAAGAATAGATTTGACTCATTGAACACTAATGACCAGACAAGTTGTGGGAAGAAATCAAGGACATCACACATGGAGAAAGCAAAATTTTTAGTCACTAAAGGACAGGAAAGAAAGAAAAGACCAAAACGGATGTCAGAAGAGACTCTAAAACTTGCTCTTAAACACAGAGTAGCTAAAGCCTATGGAAGGTTGGATGGACACAGGAAACCCAGGGTGGAAGGGGGAATGTGCTGTCACATTGTAGGGACTGCAACTAGTGTCACATGACAATATGTGTATAAAATTTTGTACGAGAGATTAACTTGAGCTGCAAACTGTCACCTAAAGTACAATAAAAGAAGAATGTAAAATAAAATAAAGCAAATGGAAGAAGAAACAATGAAGTAAAAGGGCTAAACAGAAGATTTCAAAGGGCAACTCTAGAAGATAAAGTAAAATATTATAATGAAATGTGCAAAGACCTGGAGTTAGAAAACCAGCAGGGAAGAAAATACTCAGCACTTCCCAAGCTGAAAGAACTGAAGACAAAATTCAACCCTCAAGTTGCAATTCTGAAGGATTCTATGGGCAAAATATTGAATGACGCAGGAAGCATCAAAAGCAGATGGAAGGAATACACAGTCACTATACCAAAAAGGGAAAACCTGGTGGCATAGTGGTTAAGAGCTACGGCTGCTAACCAAAAGATCAGCAGTTCGAATCCACCAGGTGCTCCTTGGAAACCCTATGGGGCAGTTCTACTCTGTCCTATAGGGTGGCTTTGAGTCGGTATTGACTCGACAGCAAGGGGTTTGGTTGGCTTGGTATACAAAAAAGAATTGGTCGACGTTCAATCATTTCAGGATTATACTGAAGGAAGAAGTCCAAGTTGCACTGAAAGCATTGGCAAAAAAAAAAAAAAAAAGGCTGCAAGAATTGACGGAATACCAAGTTAGATGTTTTCAACAAATGGATGCAGCGCTGGAAGTGCTAACTCATCTATGCAAAGAAATCTGGAAGACAGCTACCTGGCCAACCGACTGGAAGAGATCCATATTTGTGCCCATTCCAAAGAAAGGTGATCGAACAGAATGCAGGAATTATCTAAAATATCATTAATATCACACTCAAGTAAAATTTTGCTGAAGATCATTCAAAAGCAGTTGCAGCAGTACATCAACAGGGAACTGAGAGAAATTCAAGCTGAATTCAGAAGAGGACATGGAAACAGGGATATCATTGCTGATGCCAGGTGCATCTTAGCTGAAAACAGAGAATACCAGAAAGATGTTTACCTGTGTTTTATTGACTATGCAAAGGCCCTCCGTTTTCCCTACTGTCTTGGATTGAATTATGTCCCCCAAAATATGTTTGTATCACTTTGGCTGAGCCATGATTCCCAGTATTGTGTGGTTGTCCTCCATTTTGTGATTCTAATTTTATGTTAAAGAGGATTAGGGCGGGATGGTAACCCCCTTAGTAAGGTCACATCCCTGATCCAATGTAAAGGGAGTTTCCCTGGGTGTGGCCTGCACAACCTTTTATCTTATAAGAGAGAAAAGGCAAGGGAAGCAAGCAGAGAGCTGGGGACCTCATACCACCCAGAGAGCAGTGCGGGACCAGAGCGGGTCCTTTGGACCCAGGGTCCCCACATGGAGATGTGCCTAGTCCGGGGGAAGATTGATGAGAAGGCTGACAGAAACAAAGTCTGCCCCTGGAGCTGATGCCCTGAATGTGGTATTTCTGTTATAGCACCACTAGAAAACTAAGAAACACACCTTTTGGGGTAATACTGAAGTAAGGTAGGAGATGTGATGGTTCTGCCTGAGCCATCAGACCCTGGTGCACGCTGGGTGGACCCTGGTGCACGCTGGGTGGTGCTGAGCTTGATATGCGGGCATCCAGGCTGACAGCCCCTTCCCATCCCCACCTGGGCCTCGGGCAACTCCTCTCAGTACCCCATCTCACCCCTCGCCCCATCTGACAGCCCAAGAACCAGAGCCACTGTATCAACTTTGTTACCAACCGAAGAAGACAATCTTGGGTGTTGATGAATGGACAGAAGGGCAGGGCAGGCTGTTGCCTTCTGAGCGCCAGTACACTCTTCTCTCAAATCGTCTGGAAGATTGGCCAGGGCAGGGGACAGGTACTGGCGCCTGCAGGCTGCTGAGGCCTTATCATATTCTGGGGCTGGAAAGGGGCACAAAGGGGACCCAGACACAAGGTGGGAGTCCCAAGACTGATTTATTGTTGGTCAGGGTGAAGCTGGGGAGTGGGTTGGCGCTTGGTGCCTTTAGCGGGGCACAGCACAGAGCTGGTAGGGGAACGGGGTCACCAGGAAGGCATAGACGCCATGGTCGCTGGGGCGGGGCTGTCCAGGGGGCACCGAGAAGCTGAAGCGCTGCAGGAGGCAGGTGAAGAAGAGGAAGAGCTCCATGCGCGCCAGGGGCTCCCCGAGGCATGAGCGGCGGCCTGTGGGTGGGCATGGGAGCTCAGCAAGCCTGGGGGGGCTGGGGTCCCCCACTGAAGACACCCGCGGGAAAGGGCAGGGAGCCGGGCGCCCCACAGGCACCTGCTGAGAAAGGCATGAAGGCCTCAGGCTTCACGAAGCGGCCCTGGGCGTCCAGGAAGTGTTCCGGGTGGAAGCGGAAGGGCTTCTCCCAGACGGCCTCATCCTTCAGCACCGATGACAGGTTGAGGATGAGCGTCGTCCCCTGCCCAGGAGATGCCTGGGGTGGGTGGCGGCCTGGGCAGGGGATGCCGTAACCCCGGCCACCACTACACACACAGGCACACTATCTGTGTGGCGCACCCTGGACCCATTCAAGCAATGCTCAGCCCAAGAAGTTACTCGGAACCCTCCCTGTCCCCACGGCAGGGCCAGGTGACATGTCTCCCATGAGCAGCATCACTGCCACCTGTCCCTGATGCTCCTGACTCCGCCAGTACTCTGTGGCACGTTCAGTTTGCCCATCTCTGCCTCTGCTGTACGCCCCACGTCCACCAGGCTGGGCACACAGGAGGGTTAGGTCCCCCGGGATGGACGGATGGACAGCCTGGCGCCTGTCTGGGCTCCACCTGGCCAAGGTCATACCGGGGTTACAAGCTGGCAGGTGGTGCTGAGCTGGGATGAGGGTGGCTGTAGCCCTACCTTGGGGATGTGGAAGCCATGCACTTCAGTGTCACGGGAGGTCATGTGAGGTAGGTTCAGTGGCACTACGTCCCCAAAGCGCTGCACCTCATGGACCACGGCTGTGGTGAAAGGCATGCGGGCCTGGTCCTCCATCTCAGGTGGCCGAACCTGCCCTATCACCTCGTCGATCTCCTGCTGGACACGGCCTGGACAGACAAGAGTTCCCCCCATTGAGCCAGAACCCAGGAGTCCACGGTGACAGCTGCCAGGGCCCAGCCTCTGCTTGGGGACCCTGGTGTCCAAATTAGGCTCAGGGGTGGGGGGAGCCCAGTCTGTGCGTTTCCCCCTTGGCCACCATCCCCAGGCTCCTCACGTTGCACGTCCGGGTGCAGGAGCATGAGCAGGAGGGCCCAGTCCAGTGTGGTCGAGGTGGTCACCATCCCAGCAGAGAACAGGTCAGCCACCACCATGCGCATGTTCTCGTTAGTGAAGCTGCTCTCGGGGTTCCCCTTAGCCTGAGACAGGCAGAGGGTCAGGCCAAGGGGCAGAGGGGAAGCCCCAGGTGACCCCCACCCTGTGCCTGTCAGTCCGGCCCTGGTCACTGGGTGATCCCAGGCCCCACCTGTCCCTGCTGGGCTGGAGCCTCAGTGCACATCCACACCCCCGTCCCAGAAGCCGCCTCTCACCTTCTCCACCTCATCCAGGAAGGCGTCGGCCACGCCGCGGGGCGGCTGGGCCAGATCCCGCGTCTCCCGGTGTTCGGTGGCCAGCTTATCCAGTAGGGCCATGAAGTTCTTCTGTGCTGAGAAGACCTTCCTGGTCAGCCCCGGGATGCGCAGGAGCACCGGCAACACGTTCAGTATCTGTGCCGCCAAAGGAGGGCTCGAGGTCTTTCCCGTGCTCAGTGTGTCCCAGCCCCAGGTCCCAGGTACCTCTAGGGGGTCCTCGGGACTGCCTTTGCTCTTTCTGTAGCCACTCATTGGATTGCCTTTCTCCAATGCCGCTAATAGAAATCTGCCTCCGCGGAGGTCCAGATGCACAGCGAAGCGGCCTTTTCCAGGAAGTTCGCCCTGCCTGCGCCTTTCCACCCCTCAGCGATCGATCCTCCCCTCGCCCCTGCACCTCACGTATGAAGCCCGAGTCCTCCTTCAGTGAGCTCTCCATCTGCTGCAAGAGCTTGAGGATGGTCGGGTCGTCATACTCGAAGCGGCGCCCATAGGTGAGGAAGGCGATCACGTTGGTCACGGCTTTTTTCAGCAGGGCTTTGGGGCTGAAGGGGTGTCCTGGGAGGAGGACGCGGGTTACAGGGCATCTCTCGACCCTGTCCCCGCCCCGTGTCCATCAGTCCCAGCTCTCACCAGCCTGGGCAGCGAAGGCAGCGCAGAGGCAGGCGGCCTCCTCGGTCACCCACTGCTCCAGCGACTTCTTGCCCAGGCCGAAGTTGCGCAATGTGGATAACGAAAAGCGCCGCTGCTCGCGCCAAGCGTGCCCATAGCGCGCCAGGATCACGCCTAGAGGCCACAGGCTCGTGGGCGGGGCCGGCAAGCACTGGTCCCGCCCATACCCACTGTCCAGGACAGGCCACGCCCATGTACTGCAGGCAAACCTATCAGAGAGAGGCCCCGACCCCGCCAGGCCGAGCCCCAGCCCAAGAGAGGCCCCGCCCATGTCCTGCCCGCAAACCTGTCCGGGACAAGCCCTGCACCTGCCCCGCCCACAGCCCTGCTCCCGCGGTTTCCTGGCTTTTCACTGGGCACCCTGCACCGCCATGCTGGTTGCTTGTGTCCCAATAGGTGAGTCTTCGGGTCACCGCCGGCCCAGCCCCCGCCCTAACGCGATCCCAGCCCCCGCGGTCACTTGCCTTGCGCCCGCGGCCCGAAGCCCAGGTGCTCATAGATGGGCACGGGTGGGCGGTCGGCCGTGTCCTCTCCGCGGAGCACCAGTGCCTCGCGCACGGCCGCCGGCCCGTTGACCACAACCACGGGCCTCCAGGCCAGCTGCAGGCTGAACACGTCCCCGAAGCGGCGCCGCAGCTGCAGGCCGAGGGCCAGTGCGGCCGTCAGGCCGGGACTCCGCGGCTGCGGGACCCGTTCTCACCGCGCAACCTTGGTGGACCCCCTGGGCCACTAGCAGCAGGTCAAGGACAAAATGGGGCCTGATAACCTCGGGGGTCACACCCTCTCTGGATCAAGAACTTCACCTGGATCCTAACGCCCAGCTATGATTTTACAAGAGTCCCCAACTGGTCCATAGGACCTACGTAGCAGGTCATTTTACAGATGAAGAAACCGAGGCTCAGAGAGGTGGACAGTGTGTCCTAAAGTCCCCGGAAAAGATTTGATGGGAGTCACTGCACCCCTCTCCCCTCCAGACCCTGATTGCAATGGTGCTCACTGCCCAGCCCCCACCCCCATTCCCAAGGCCTTCTCCCTGAGGTCATCAGGAGACTTGGGTCTTGCATAATTTCTGTGTCATCCACTGGATTGCAAACCTGCTGCCGAATCCGACCCCACCTCCTGGACTTCAGCCCTCTCCAACCCACCAGATTTTGTACTCTGAAAATCCAAACGGTCCTTCCGGCCAGCACTAGTCCTCTCCCTCAGGAAGCCTCCCTAACCTGCCTTGTCTTCTGGGCCAGCTCCTTGTCCAGCCGGTGGCTTCACTCACATCCACCGTTCAGTGCTCAGAGGGTGTGCAGGGCTTCTGGTGCCCCACCCCCAAATGCCTCACCTGGCCAAAGCTGTATGGCGCGTTCTGGAAGTCCACCTGCAGCAGGTTGCCCAGCCCAGGCATCGGCACAGGGCCTGGAGGGTAGCTTGCAGCCCAGCGTGCACGCCGGTGCATCAGGTCCACGAGGAGAAAGAAGGTGGCCACAGCCACTGCCAGAAGCACTAGGGCCTCCCCAGTCAGTAGCCCCATGGCTGCCTCACTGCCTGCTGGGCTTCTCTGCTGGGCTGGGTGGGAGATCACGGAGGTCCACCTGGGGTAACCGTGTACACACCTGGCACCCTCAGACCAAACCAGGTTCCAAGGACCAGATGTAGCACCCACCACTCCCATTTATATAAAGGGACAAGGACTGTACTTTGCCCTCCACCGTTAGCCAACCTACTGTGAATCAATGTTTGTGTTGCCCAAGGCCGGGAAGGTGCAGGCTCAGAAAGGCCATAGCAGGCCTTGCCTCTCCTGCCCTCTCCCGGGTGGGGGGTTGGAAAAGACCTTAGAAGAGAAGTCCCCCCACTCCCACACCCTAACTTTCTAGTTCTGCAGGATCCTGCAGGCATCTAGGCTGCTGAAGGGGCGAACAGTCACCAGTGACTTGACCCTGTCATCCTTCCTGTCCCATGGGTCTCCTCACAGCCTAATGTGGTACAACCTGGTCCTCAGGACGGCCCTCATCCTACCACCCCTCCCCTGCCACGTCCTAGAGTGCCCTTCACTCTCTGGATTTGTCACTGTTACTGCCTGGGGCCAAGACTAAGTTCAGAGGGGCTGCATGAGGAGAGGGGAGATGAGGTCCTCAGTTTCCCTCCTACCTCCTCACAATATGCAGACCTGACACACACAGACTCGCACAGTCACACAGACACAAAACACTCATACATGCACACACACAGACCCACTCACACACACGTATTCACACATCCCTGAAACCATTCCCACACAGATAGACACCCATTAACACAACACTCACGTTCACACTGCCAGACATACACACACTCAAACCACTCACACACACGCATAGCCAGCCCCAAGTGGGATGGGCACTTTCCCTTTTTGACTGAGCCACCAGGAAGCTCAGGGCACTAGGGCGTCTTACTATAGAGAGGACTGTGCCCTCGAGGAGTGGGTCTGCTTCCCCCTCCTCCCCATCATTTGTCCCGGACTCTCAGCTGCTCATAATCTTTCTGGAAGACAATGGGATGGGAATCCAGCAGGGTGATGTGGTTTCCTCAGGCCCTCAGAGGCCTGCTGAGACCACAGAGCCATGAAGGGACTCTCGGGCCTCCCACTTGTCGACCTCATCCCATCCTGCTGTGCCAGACCTCCACACCTCCAGCTTCACCCCTCCCAAACCTGCCTCTGTCAACCCCTTCTGAGGGCCCCAGCCTCTGAGGAAAGGTACTGTCATGGATTCAGTTGTGTTCCCCCAAAATATCTGACAGCTTGGCTGGGTCATGATTCCCAGTGTTGTATGATTGTGTAATCTGATGTGATTTCCTTGTGTTGTAAACTCTGTCACTATGATGAGATTATATGTGATCTCCTTATGTGTTGTAAATTCTATCACTGATGAGGTTGACAAGATTAGATAGTGTCTTAATGCAATCTCTTTTGAGATAGAAAACAGAGAAGCCTGCAGAGACACACAGGAACCTCATACCACCACGAAAGCAGTGCCAGGAGCAGAGCGCGCTCTTTGGACCTGAGGTTCCTGCACAGGGAAGCTCCCAGACCAGAGGAAGACTGATGCATCACAAGGACTTGTCTCCAGAGCTGACAGGGAGAGAATTTGGACTAGTAGCCTACTGGACTGTGGGAGAATAAACTTCTCTTTGTTGAAATCCATCCACTTGTGGTGTTTCTGTTAGAACGGCACTAGATGACTAAGACCGGTCCTAAGCTTGGTAGCTACCCATTCTAGGGCGTGCGGCCTCCAGGCTGGAACCATGGCTGCCAGACCCTCCCTCCTGCCTCCTCCAAGCTGGGGGTGACCACATGGGCCAAGGCATGGCCGCTGCCTGCAGGCCTCAGCCCCCTCCTTCTTCAACAGTGAAAGGGGTGGGATTCCGGCTGAGTTAAGTCTATTAAGCTGATTGAAACCCCGAGACTGAGACCCAGGTAAATGGGATGGCGTCATGGAAGCAGCATTTCCCGGGCAAGAGGGTGGGGAGGATCTGGGCGGGACTGCTCCACCTCAGGCCCCTGCTAAGTCCCGGGCATGTGAGACAGTCTCTCACTCTGGAAACACTGGGGTGTTCCAGGGTCTTGAAGGGGCTCTCCCTCGGCTGAGGCTCCCCAACAGGTGTCCTCCAGCACCCTCTCTCACCGCCCACAGTGAGGACCAGGTTCTTTCCCAGGTTCCCTCTGAACAGCCCAAGCCCTCAGACTCAGAGACGGGAGCCTGGGGGCTGTGTGCCCTTGTGGCACTGGCTTTCGATGTTTGCGACTCCTGCTTGGTCTGTGACAGCAATGCCGAAGCTGGTCCCAGCTTTCGTGAATTCCAGCAACCCCACTCTCCTGCCAGGCCCATGGGCAGAGGTTGCTGTGGCCTTCCTCAGTTTACCCAGCCTTCCCTGTGTCTCACCTTGGCCAGGCTTGGATTGTGTCACCGGTGCTGAACCTACCAGTCATGCTGGACGCCAGGCTGGGTGCCAGGGGACCTGGGGGGGGAAGACAAGTGGGAGGTGCCCTGCACCGAGGTGCTTGTGACCGAGGAGGAAAGGTAGAGAGCTGATAGGCTGATATGCAAAGGCAGAAGTGCAGGGACTGCTTTGAAGGTCATGGGCGTGTGCCCCAGGCTGCGCCAGGGCTTTCTGGGAAGGCTTCATGGAGGTGGACTTTCATTGGCACCACCGGCCAAGGTGCCCCAGACTATCCAGGGGGTGCGGGACCGCTGGAGACTGAGACTTTGCAAGTCTGGCTCAGAGCTGGACTGTGGGCATCTGGGGTCCTGGGCTTCCAGTTTTGAGGCCACTCAATGGATCAGTAGAGAAGGACCCTGGACACCCTGGGGACTTCTTCATCCGGCCTGGGGCCTCTCACCTGGCCTCAGCTCAAGGCTGACGTCCCAGTTGGCAGCACTTTTTCCTGGGCGCTATCAGGGAATCGAGGTGGTGTGAGTGGGACTGTAGGATGGTGCAGTCTGTCACAGTCCCTTTAATACGGTGGCCCTCCGTAAACTGCCTTTATTTACCCTTTGCTTGTTGGGTGTGTCGCGTCCTCCCCAAGCACAGCCATCCTAAGGGGCATGAAGGGCAGTGCCCTCTGATGCCTGGGGCCTGCAGGCCATTGGGAGAACCTGTCGTCGCCTGTCCCAGTCACCGCAACCAGAGCTTCCACTCGGGGCACTGTGTGCCAGGCGCCCTTGACTCTGGGTGCCCCAGGGCATTCCGTCCTCCCCACAGCCCCAAGGCAGGCACACAGGGAGACACAGTCTCAGCCTCCAGGCAGTAGCCACGAGGCTCGACCCCCTCATCTACCGCACGCTCTTTGCGACTCCTCTCCACTGTCCAAAGTTCTGTCACTGCCAGTGTAAAAACCACTGGGATTTATGTGAGGAAATCACTGCCTCCCAGCCTGCCCTCTGCTCTGGCAGAGCTGTGGGGGCTTCAGAGGTGACGGGCCACACTGGCGGCACAAAGACCCCCACGTCCGTGTAAAATGCACTGTGCAGAGGGACCCCTGGGCACTCACACTGCGCACCCACGTGCCTTGAGCAGCGGAGGCTCACTGCTGGGGCTGGAGTGCTGCTTCCGATACAAGTTCATTCCAGACGCCAGTTCAAGGAAAGACCCAGAATGACTGCCACATCCAGCTCAAGCATCAGTATGCCAAAAGGGACCAAAAGAATAAAATGCAGTAAAATTCATCCTTTTTAGTGTACAGTTCTGTGAATTTTGACAAAAGTGTACAGTTGCATAACTGCCACAGCAGTCAAGATACAGGAAGGTTCCAGCATTCCAAAAACCTCCCCCAGGCTCTCTTGAAGTACCTCCCACACCCTGGCGACCCATGAGCAGCTTTCTGTCCCATAGTTTTCCCTTTGCAAGAGTGTCATGTAGATGGAAACACACACAGTGTGTAGCTCTCTGAGCCTGGTTCCTTTCCTCCAGCACAACGTATCTGAGACTCAGCCATGCTGCATCAGCACTTTGTTCCTTTTTATTGCTGAGTAGTATTCCATCATGGGGATGTCGCACAAGCTGTTTATCCCTTCCCCAGTTAAGGGACGTTTGGATGGCTTATAGTTTTTGTCAATTACAAATACAACCACTATACACATTCAGGTACAAGTTTCTGTGTGAACGTATGAGTTTTTCATTCACCTCGGTAAATACCTAGGAGTTGGATGTGGGTCATATGGTCAGTGTATGTTTAACTTTGTAAGAACCTATCAAACTGTTTTCCAAAGCGGCTGTACCATTTTGCATCCCAACAACGATGAATGAGAGGCTCCAGTTGTTCCACATCCTCTTCAGCACTTGGTATTGTCTGTTTTGTTTTTGGTTTTTTTAAGCCATTCTAATAGGTGCCGTAGTGGTTAAGCGCTACGGCTGCTAACCAAAAGGCTGGCAGGTCGAATCCACCAGGCGCCCCTTGGAAATTCTATGGGGGCAGTTCTACTCTATCCTACGGGGTCGCTATGTGTCAGAATCGACTCAACGGCCATGGGTTGGTTTGTTTTTTTCCCATAGGTGTATATAATAATTTTATGAGGTCAATATTCAGGGTTTACATTATGAAGACTAAACAGTATTCCCAAATGAGTCATGTGGTGTACTATGATTACTCTTCCTTGGGTGTTATTTGGGTTCATGTTGAGTTTTTTTTCCTGTTTCTTTAATTTTCTCTGTATTTATCGTTAATTCTTCCAAGCTGTCTGCCACAAATATAACTCTCCTTTGGATACATTTAGACAGTTCAGGTAATTTCTCAATATCTTTTTCAGGGAGACATATCTCATGGAGCTTCCCATCCTCCTGCTTCCAACTGGGTGGGTTTCACTTGATGCCTGCTGCTCAGCTGTCCTCGGGGAGATTCCCTTCTCCATCCTCCTGGGGAGCTCTTCAGTTCCCTCCTGTGCTGGGTCCCAAGTTATCCTCTTTTTAGGTTACGTCTTTATTTTGGTGGAGCACAACCTCCGCTTACTTCCTGAGGGGTAGTCTTGAGACCTTACGTATCTGAAAGTTCTTTTT